CTGAAATCCGCCGCTATTATCTTGATCTAAAAAAATTGTTATGTATCATTAGAATTTTGATAAATCACTTTTGTATTAACACAATTATTAATTGAAATTGTTTGAAAACTTTTAAAATCACTTTAACTTACTTTTCGGCTTGGAAGTCTTTCGACCATAATCAGCCTTCCCGTCTGCTGGCAGTGGTACATATGACCAGGACAACGCAATCCATTGTCCAGGAGATAGCCGGAACTTATCCGCTCACCACAAAAATCAAAAATGGTCAACTTATGTTTTGTATTTTCTGCTAATATAATTTGATCCTCAGCGTTTTTACATAAATTGTTTAAACCGCGAAGCAATCCACCAACAGATTGTGTGAGAGTAAGATATTCACGTTTCAAGCCCATATTGTTATAAAACTCTGAATTTGTATAACCTTGTCTCAAAGCAAGGCTATCTAGGTCATTGTTCTGCACCGAATTAATTTTCTTAAACTTAAATTGTGGCACAGTAGTTACTTGCAAGCCATTATTAATGTTTCTAGAATTCAACTTATCATCTTCGGGGCTACCATCTTTGGCAGTCCAGGGATTGCTCCACATTCCTAATGGTTTTGTATAATTTGATGAAAAATCTGTCATTTTTAATATCTTCTACCCTAACGTTGAAAAGATATAACACAAATGTCTATTTCAGCTGGCGAGAAAGAATCTGCAAATAATTGTGATGGTTTAGCCTCATCGCCATCGCTATATATACAAAAATTTTACAACAGTTTGCTTTGAAATAAATTAACCTACTTGATGTAAAAATTCTTCTCTTGTGTAAAAATTAGCAAAGTTAATTTTTTTAAACACATAGATAATTCACTTTATAAAAAACATAGACCATTTTATCGTTTTGATCTTTATCGAAATTGTAAAAATTAGAATATAATTCAAAGTTAATTTGATGGCACTCAACGTCAAAAAAAATTTTGTTTGGTTTCTTTGGTTAATTGTTTATTCTAAAGGCAAATTCCAACTAAATAAAGAAAATTTTATTACATAAACTTTATTAAAATTTCACTACAAAAATTTTTCCATTTGATGTGTTTTAGTTAAAGCGTAATTATTTATGCTCTTTTTATTTTTAATTTAATCTAATTCATTAGTCGGCTTTATTGATTTTATAAATGTTCTCAAATTTTTTGTAGTTTTCTATTTTGTTTCAAATTTTTTCAGCCCAGTAACGACAGCATTGACAGTATGAACAAAAATATAAATTTCTAGATGGAAATCATGACAAAAATGTGAAACATTTCATTAGCGAAAATTTATTTGTCCGTAACACCAATCGCTTATAATTTTGACTTGACGACTTAAATAACGCGCTTCCACTGGCAAATCGAATGTCCGCGTTCGGCGCCTGCATGCAATCTTGTAAACCTCATTATTCTAACTCGATTCGATTGAATCAAAGGAAGTTTCCCTGTCAATTTAATTTCGTATTTAAATGCGAGAATGCGGTTTTCCTTTGATTTGCGTTAATGTTCATCAGTCTGCCATGACTTGTTTGCCGCCAGCTAATGTTTCTGTCATTTTCGTTCACAAAATTTAATGGTTTTATACTTACAAGGAGTTTATTATGTAGACTGTAGTTTCGAATTATCAGATGTACCATCTGCTTGTTTGCATATTTCTACAATGTATTAATCTGCCTGCCTGCCTGTCTGTCTGGCTGGCTGGCCTTCCTGTCTTATTAAAAATTGGAAATTCAAGAAAACTCGATATAAAAAGATTAACTGGCATTGTTAAGTGGAAATGAAATTGAATGAAGATATCGTGAGCGTCATTGTCCAAATCACTTTTGCTTTGTTTACATTTGCTTCGGTGACGTTCTGTTTGCAGGTGATGACTCAAATCTCATTAGTCGAAAGAATAAAGAAACATAGCACAGCGAAACATGTCTCTTTTCGATGCGCGTGTCTTACTCACTTTGCGCTGTGGGTACGAAAACAAAATAATATGTATGAAACTTTTTTTTATATTCATAAGTGTGTTTAACAACTTTCCAAATATAAACGTCCTCTCTCAAATGTGAAGAAGATGTGTGTCTGTGTGTGTGTTCGTTTGTTTGGATGTGTTTCAAATTTATTTTTTATAAAATACAACCAACATCGCAGTAAAATCAATATATATTATAATTATCCTTGAACCAAAAATGAGCCAGAACCAAAAATGTGTGAAACATTAACGTTTCTGAGCCTGCATCAGTAAAAATTACATGAATAAAATGTCTATTTCACATAAAACATAAAATAGAATTGAAAAATAATAAAAAAAAATTTATTTATCTGCATTAAATTCATCTCATTCATTAGCCAATTGCAACAAAGTGATTGTTCCAACATCATGTACCATGTATCAATAAATTATTTTCCACTACACATTTTATATTCCAAGTCAGAAATGTTGTTTATTTTGTCCAGTTTCCGATTTTGTGTCACATAAAAATAGAAAAAATGAAATGTCAGTAGGTTGATGTATGTAGGTACACTAGATCGCAACAAAAACTGAAGCATTTTATATATCCTGCAGGCTATTCTACAGGGAACAATGGCCGATCGATGCTTTCAAACTGAGTAGCAATCATTTAATTGCCTCCATTCTGAGCGTAAAACAGGGAGACCGATCCATCATTTGGCATTATACACGGTAGTTTAACATGATGACGTCATCATTGACGTCATTACGTCATCATTGCATCAACCTCGTTGTTGAGTCATGAGAGAATTTAATTATGCCGTATCATTTTATGACATCGTTGTCATTATCATCATCATTATCATCTTCCTTATCATCATCATCATCATCATCATCTTTTTCATCATCATTATCATTATTTCCATAATTATCAACACCACCACCATCATCATCAAAAACTTGCAACATCGCAATAGTTACATCCCATTTTTTCATATCTTATCTTACATTAATTATATCGCCATCATCATCTTCATCATCCTAGTCATCATCATCTTCATCATCATTATCTTCATCACCATCATCTTCATCACCATCATCATCGTCTTCATCCCCATCATCATCATAGTCGTCATCATCACCATCATCATCATCTTTATCAGCATCAGGATACGGTTATTTAGATATTCTGCCTCTCCTGAACTCAGAGAGTATCTACTAGACTGACTGACTTGAAGTGCTTCAGACTCATTATAAACTCACCAGACAACCACCACCACCTCCCACCACCCACGCAGTCTTCATTTCACTTCTCTTATTCATTGGTCGTTTTAGTCAGGACTGTATTTTTTTTTTATTTTTGCGACTTTGTTGTAGGAGCGCTCAAATCAAATCCGGGATCTGTGCGGATAAAAATGCCTTGCCTCATACGGAAAGCCATGAAAACAATTAATTAACATTTTTTATTATTATTTTTATTATTTTTATTATTAATTTTATTATTTTTTATTATTAATTTTATTATTTTTTATTATTAATTTTATTATTTTTTATTATTTAATATTATTATTTTGTTATTTATTTTATTTCAGATTTCAATTCCACTGATTTTAAAGCTGCTCACGTGATTTTTTGCTTGAATTTGATTTGTTGATCATTATCGTCCGTAGTATCATTATTATCATTATCATCGTCATCGTCCGCGCACCATCATCATTATCATCATGGTTGTTGTTGTTTAGTTGTTATGTTGTTGTGCTATTGTTGTGTTGTTGTGTTTCTGTGTTGTTGTAGTTGTTGTGTTGCTGTGTTGTTGTAGCTGTTGTTATTGTTGTGTTGTTGTTGTTTTCTGTTGTGTTGTTGGTGTTGTTGTTTTCTGTTGTGTTGTTGCTGTTGCTGTTGTTTTTGTTATTGTTGTCAACATAGAACTTTACTACATTGAAAGACTTCTCACCATTAAAAAGTCCTCTTCACGAAATCATTTCATCATCACACCTCAATATGAATCATTCAATTAATGTTCGACTACACACGATATGATATGATATCATGTTGAATATGATACGATGCGTTACGATATATGATATGATATGATACGATATGATTTTTGACTTAATTGAGAATATCTTTTTTTACAGGATATGATTTAATTATTTCAATTATTTAAGTTATTTATAAAGAAAAACTTCTAGTTTGAATTCAATTGTTTTGTTTGACTTGATAAATTTTGATGATCATTTTTGTTCTAAGTAATTTCTGCTCATTTTTGGCTAAATTTAACTTGTTTTCATTGGCTAGCTATACGATTTTATTTTCATTTATGTTGTTATTTTCCATTAGGTTTATGTTTTTATTTGGTTTGGGTTGGGTGGCCGTACAAGCTCGTTTGAGCTCCTGTGTCTTCATGCTTTTTGCTGAATAAATTTAATTGTATATGATAAGATATGATACGATATGATAGGATTTAATATGATATGATATATGATACATGATATGAAAATTACCCAAACACATTCCACCGTTAACATACCACATTACATATATATATATATATATATATATATATATATATATATATATATATATATATATATATAACTGGTAGAGTTGCAGCGTCAAATTAAAATTGAGAATATGAGTAGATTTAATTAAATAGTACGCACCAACCACGACACATCTGTTTTATGAGCTGACCAGTTCTAATCGAATCGCATTTAATCAAATAAAAAAACGCGTCAAGCCGTTTCTATGACGTGACTGCACCATACTAGGTGACGTCATGCAAAGGACATCTCCTGACGTCACCATGGCAAATCACGTGAGTGCGTTTCATTGATCCGAACAAATATAAATATCAATAGATAATTATTATTGTTATTTTTGTTGTTATTATTGTTTTTACGATTATTATTATTATTGTTATTGATGTTATTATTGTTATTATTATTAACTCTAGCTGTATTCATTCACAGTGAACGACTGACGAGCTTCAGTAGATTAATTCATTCATCATTTCATTCAAATACATCTCCTCATTTTATGCCATTTTATTTATTTCCATTTCACATCATTCTTCTCTTCTTTGCATTTTTTTATTGACATTGTTTTTGTTTTTACTTTGAGCTGATTAATTAAAGTGTTTTCATTATTATTATTATTATTATTATTGTTGTTGCTGTTATTTTTATCATCATCATCAAAGTATCATCATCATGTCATCATCATCATCATCCTCATCACACCACGTGACCACTAACCTCAACAGCCTCTACCCTCTCGTTGAGGAGTTCCTCCAGCTTTCTCTTCATCTTCTTCATCACCTCCTCTCCCTGTATCTTCTTCACAATGGGCTCGGTCAGTAGATATTCCTGCGTGTTGGGTGGGTGGACTGGTATGAGGTGGGTTAATGTGAGGTGGGGCGAGGTGTGGTGGGGTGGAGTTGGGTGGGGTGAGGGGGCATACAACGTTGTGTAGATGCATGCATTGTGCTTCAACAAATGTTAACGTTTATTGAATTGAGATTATTTACAATATTTTGAATTGTCTATTTGGAATGCTAAAAACCATACCACTCAAATCGAAAGCGTTAACATCAATCAATTATAATAGGTGAACATGCGACGAACAATATTGATTGCAAGCACAAAATAAAGTAACACGTCATGTTATTCAACATGTCAAATGTCATTGGAATGAAAAAATATCATGTCTTTGTAATGTTTCCACAATAAAATGGAGAGACACATGGTCGTCAGTGAGTTCACAATGTCTGCAGGAACTCAATTCCTGTTAGAATGTCTGATCAGACAGTGTCTGACCGAAGATTGAAAATTCATGTGAGTTGCTCAGAACTCCGTCTCCTTCCATTGGATCTTTCTTACAACGGCGCTGCCATATGAGTTTGTTTCTGTCTGAATTAGAGAAATCTTTTCAGCGGTTTTGTTATTCGTTTTTCAATTTTGTTGTTTCACTAGTTGAAGTTTTTTGATTTTTCGACCGAACAATTAATGATGGTTTCCGTATTTTCATTATACGGTACCGGCAATAATTTCAATAAATTTTTTTTCAATTTAAAATGAAAATCCAGCAAGTGTGACTTGTTTTTATTCAAACAGAATCTAAACACTCAGTTCAGTTCGCATCAGTATCGAAATGAAACGCGCAAATTGCATTGCCTGTTGTTTAATAATGCAGCAGCTACAAAGCATCGACGCGCGCAGACAGAAGAAGGTGAGCAGTTCAGACTACTCAACAACCTCCTATTTGCCGATGTGCATCGTTGTTTGGAGCCAGGATTTTGCACGGTAGATGTTCATGCCAACTGATATTTCTCTAATACCCACTATCAGATGTAAATGCGGAATGTTGAATGAATGTTAAGTCAGGTAAGAAAGAAATTAATTACGTCAGGGCTCTTCACCATCGGCATTCTCTTTATTATATCGCATGTTCTAGGAGCGTTGCAATCTCGGTATTAACGGTAAATTATATTAGAGATAAGCTGATGTTGTGAGAATGAAACTGATTCTAATTTTCAAATGTTTGAACAAAACAAGACAATCGGTGGAAGATGAATGAATGCCATGCAAGCACTGAACAGCTATCAAAAAAACCAATACAAAATTTTCAACCCAACTTTAAAATGGAAATGAGTAGCAGTATATACTGTGTCGAAATATATTTTACAAATACTCTTTACATTTTTATTTTTTAAACGTTTTTAATATTAAACAGTAGTGTGCACGAGAATGGTGCATTTGTGACGAGAGAATTTTAAAGATTCTAACACAAATTTTTGTTCATTACAAAATAAAGTTTTTTTAACTGTTTAACTGATGAAGCATACCTAAGCAGTACACAAACAATTCGCTAACAGCAAAGTTATGCAGTGTCCAGTTTTGAACAGGCAGGCTATCAAACGTTCGACGCGATGGTGCCTCTTGTGCCACTGGGTCCGTATGTATGCACCGTTCGACAAAACATCAAAACCCCCAAACAAAAGGGATGATATTTTAATAACACATGAGCAGAATATTAATCATTTTTCAATCAACATAATGAACAAATATTTTTAAAATAACTGAAAGATACCAACAATTTTTTTCAAATGTAAAAAGTGTTCAAAAAACTGATTTAAGATAATCAACTATTCGGTCAAGACGAAATAAAAATGATAGATCGATTAATCGGACCGACCGGCACATCTCCACAGCGGAGGTACGTGTGTCATCAATCGAAGGTAGGGGTACAATTCATCTGACGAGATGGATCGAAACAGTTGGGTTTCTTAACAATCAAATCAAACAATTCAATTCAAACAATTTGTATTAGATCCACACGGCAAATATTAATCTCAGTACTTCTAAAATACCGGGACCTACCTCGCACATCACAGTTTTTAACGACGAGCGGATCAGTTGAGTGGCGTCTGCTTCACATTCCAGCGGACCTTCTGATTCATTGCAGGAAAGTTGATGCACGTGTTCCCCTCTGCATTATTTAATCAGAAATGTTGACCAGAGGCTCTCAAAAGTTAACCTTGATTTATTGCATCCTAAGCTGATTTGAAAAAATTTTTTCAAGGCTGAAAAGCATGATGAAGATTGCAGGACTCGAGCGAAAAATTTTGTTTCAAAACATGCAAAAAAACACTGCCAAACAATATTGTCCTGATAATTTTACAATTTTTTGAAATTTTTTGTTTTTCCTCTTTCAGAATCATTCTCTGTTTTTCAGACTTGCATCATTCAAACAAAGTTAGTTTCCAGCATTACTTGAGTGAATTGAATTTTCAACCAATAAACTCAGATTGCAAATAAATAAATGAAAAAATTTAGCAAAGTGTGAATGACAAATGTTGCATTGAGATGAGAGTGTTTCTCTTTCCTTCATCCTTCCTCTTTCTCTTCCTTTCTCTACATCTATCTTTGCAGCATTAAATTGCTTATACACTCTGATTCATTGCATGCACAATGGAATATTTTTTGTTTTTATAGGACAACTGCATACATTAGCATATATTGTTGAGCCAGAACTTTATTTTAGTATTTTTTTGGCAAAAAGCAATTGTTTGCATGCCAGAACGTGTTCATCAAATGTTGTACACTGATCAAAAGAGACAGAACCCAATTAGGCACTAAATGCGATCCGTCACGCCTACACGTACACATGTTTGCTCCTATCTAAATAAATAACTAAAAATTTTATAAAATATACATTCATATAAATGTGTGTGTATGTTGTTTCATTATTATATTAATATATTAGTTCAGACTCTTCAGAAAATTTTTACCAATTCATACAACAATCATGATTGATAACAAAAAGTAGAAAGCAAGAACGATGATAAGAGTAAAAAGATCCTCCCTTGAATCTTCTTATCAGAGCAAAACATACTCGCTTGGACTTCAAAAAATCGCATATGGCCTCATCGACTCTGTGGACATGGTCATAATTAGCTACCTCCAACTCTTAGCATTCTTCATCTTCTCCCTCATCATCTTCTTCATTATTTTTTCTAGGATATCATCACCGTCATATCGCCAAATAAATTTTAAAATATAAATAAATAAATATATATTTATATATATTTATATTTATTTACATCACATCGTATCACCAAAAATTTCATTATCTTATCAATGGGAGTAAGTATAGCAAAAACATTGAAAATATCTTTGCTAATTCATTTTATTTTTATCGTTAAAAATAAAATTCATATTGCTGTTATAATTGTGATCAGTATTATTATTATTTATTGTTTATAATTGGAATGATAACAACAATGATAATAATGATAATTATTATTATTAATAATAAATTAATAATAATAATAATTATTATTATTATCTTCTTTAATGTCATCTTCATCGCCACCATCATCATCATCACTACAATTTTGCTCTAAAACCCTAATCATCATCCTCACAAAATTAAATCCTTTTTATAAACTTCATATTTCATTACTTCTTCATTATTATCATCCTCATCGTCAAATTCATCATCAAGGTCATCATCAAGGTCATCATCGTTAAGGTCTTCATCGTCGAGGTCGTCATCTTTAAGGTCATCATCGTCAAGGTCATTATCAAGGTCATCATCGTTAAGGTCATCATCGTCAAGGTCGTCATCGTTAAGGCCATCATCGTCAAGTTCATCATCAAGGTCATCATCATGGTCATCATAAATATCATATCATCGTGGTCATCATCACGGTCGTCCTACTACATCATCATATGAACTTTTAGAATTCCTTCCTCAAGTATCACGCAGATGAGGTCTCAATAAGTCGATGCAAATTGCACATGCACAGCGTGCAGCGGCGTAATTTTCAGATGATATGACATTGCTCCCAAGCGCCGTGCAAGTCATTAGCACGCCTGCACTCACGCTGATGAATAAATAAAACTGATAAATTATTCATTTACAACGAATTTATTATTCGCGAGAAACAAAATTTTTCTTCGAAACGTCGTCACTGACAAATTTTTCATCGCATCTGAGAAGAAGTGAAAGCAATAACTTACGCTCTCAGAATCAATTGATATGGCATAAATAACATTGAATAGAAAATAACTATGTACCTGTGCAATGAAAAATAAATTTCACATTTTAAATGTTTATTATATGTATACTATTTATTTGGGAAAAATTTAAATTGCCCCTTATATATTTTCTCAAAGAGGCATTTGAAACAAAATTCATCAGGTCATATAATGACTTTTTACCAATTTTTTCTTTTTATATAATATTCACCGAAATTGATAAAGAGTTTATTTGTAAATTGTATTAAATTCAAGTGAATGTATTATATTATTGATAATATAAGATCGTCACAAGTTCCTACATAAAGTGCAACAGATAACTGAAAGATGAGCTGGCATAATGGAGAAAAAAGATTGTCACATTTTTAAAAAATGAGTTTATTTAACAAAAGTAAAAGAAGAAATAAAGAATTTGATAAGAATTTTGAAAAAACAAATGTGAAAAGTTATTAGTCTTTGAATGTGGAACGTGCTGCCGAAACTTTTGTGTAAATGATAGCCTTGTGAAGATGATCAAGTAATTTTCGCAAGAGAAAAATAATTTCTCAAGACATCACCAGCTAAGTAGCGTTAACACGAAACCAACATCCTGGTGGTGGTGGTGGTGAACGATGGGGGTGATGAACGACGGTAGTGGTGATGAAGATGATGGTGAGAAAAGAGCAACTTTGACGCAATAAGATGTGAACCTCCCATGAATAAAGACGTGAAATTTCATAAATGCGACGAAATTGCGCAGTTAATAAAAGTAGATGGAGATGTCGCAGTTATGGATTGAAAAATAAAACTAATTAAAATAATAAAAATAAATTAATTAAAATAATTAAAAATAAATTAATAAAAATAATTAAAAATAAATTAATTAAAATAATTAAAAATAAATTAATTAAAATAATTAAAAATTAATTAATTAAAATAATTAAAAATTAATTAATTAAAATAATTAAAAATTAATTAATTAAAATAATTAAAAATTAATTAATTAAAATAATTAAAAATTAATTAATTAAAATAATTAACTTTGTAAAATAATTCAAATGCTTGAAGTGTAAAAAAGGCTGAGAGTTGAAGAATTGTGGAAGTTGTTGGCGGATGTTGGTGAGGGGAGGTAGGGTGGGTTTGGGGTAATTGAGGGAAGGTTCGTTCGTTGGGGGGGTGGGTGGAGGAGCTCAGTACTTCGTGGTCAGCACTTGGATACCTAATAATAACTAGCGGGAAGAAGTTTGTAAAAAATTTGTGAAAGGAGTCGAACATTTGACCATCAGTAAAACGACAGAACAGATTGATATATTGAAAACTTTGATAATAAATTTTTAAAAAGTTCAAAATAATCATTCTGAAGATTGTAACATACAAATTTTAAAATTTAAACTACACTTTGAATTGAATTCCAGTAGTGAATTGAAAAAAAAATTAAGTCGATTTCATCAAGTAGGAAAGGAGATTTGGCATTCTGAGAGAATCATCAATGAAGTTTGAAAAGGAGTTGCGAAATTGTCCGAGGAAGTCGAATTTTTGGATTATAATTTGAAAACTGAACAAAAAATTTCAACTGGTCAAGAAGTCAGTTTGATAGTTGTGATATTGTGAAAATTGTGGATGAAAGAAAACGACGACAAAATGTTGAAACGCTGAATTAATTTTTTGAGTTTCAAAGTTGCTCACATTGTTAAATATGATGAAGGTTGATAACATTTTTTAATCAAATTATAACGTTCAATTTTGTTTCATAAAACACAGTTTGTTTGAAGATAGTTGAACGTACTCGTACAGTCTCAACTAATTAAATTAAACACGAGAACAACAAAATTACATGACTGACTGACTGACTGAATGAATGAATGAATGAATGAATGAATGAATGAATGAATGAATGAATGGATGGATGAATGAATGAATGAATGAATGAACGAACGAACGAACAAACGAACGAACAGACGGACGGACAGACGGACGGACGAACGGACGAAAAAACGGACGAACGAACGAAAACGAAAATGAATGAACGAATTATTTTCGAACAGTTGACTTCGCGGCGTGGTCATGGTTAATGATGCGAGTCATGCAGTGCAGTGACCGCTTTCAAATGCAAACGCAGATCTCCAGCTACCAGATGCAATTGGTGCAATGCTTGGTTCGGTTCGTTTTCATGCTGCGTGTGTTTGTTTGTGTGTGTTTGCGTGTGTGGAGGGTATGTGTGTGTTGTGTTTGTTGTTTGTGTTTGTGTGTGTGTGTGTGACACATTAACACAACAACACAGCGACACAACAACACAACGACACAACAACACAACGACACAACAACACAAGCAAATGATCCTCACTCATTCATATCGAAGAATGTTTCCAACGCAAACAACGCGAACAAAGACCTTACAGATTAATCAATGCCATCAAAAGCTTTCTTCCTCCGTACAGTTGACCCTCTGTGCACGAGTGAAACAAACGGACAGACAAACAAACAAACCTACAGACAGGCAGACAAACAACAGCAAACTTAAGTGATCACTGCCAGGTGAACACGTTTACTCGGTAAAAAAAATTCCATCGCAATAAAGTTATATATATAATTATAACACACACATTTTTACCACACATCAGCAAAAACATGCATGGAAGAGTAATTAAAAATAGAGTAAGTTGAATGTGCAAGTTGAAGAGTACCTGCATGCATGCGCGTGGAACAAAGGAAACTTGCAGACGAGCAAACAGACAATCATTCGATCAAACATAAGAGCACAAAAACATGCAAACACGCTCGCACTTGAACAGATGCAAACACAAACCAAACACAAATGTTCAACGGATGATCTATCACACACACATACACACATACACACACACATACTACACGCACACACGCACACGCACACACTCATAGAAACACGCACAAACAAACACAACGTCAACACACGTAAACACGCAGTTACACCGACCCGGCCAGCGGACAATAAACATCACTTAACAACCGACCACCGTTTAAATGCACGCGTTAACATCAAACATGCTGACGTCATCGAATGAAAGGGATGCTCGTGAATAATTGAAGCGCTTCATAAGTTGGTTTATGTAGGCAGGGAGAAGTTGATATGACGCCGACACATCCGCGTGCCTCACACTTTCGTTCAGGAGCTTCATTGTTCCTTATTGGTGGCCTCATTCGATGTGGTGGTTGTTGGAGGGGGTGTTGGTCTGGATTGGTGGTTGGTGGGAGGAGGTGTTTGTCTGGATTGGTGGTTGGTGAAGAGGGGTGTTTGTCTAGATTGGTGGTTAGTGGGGAGAGGTGTTTGTCTGGGTTGGTGGTTGATGGAAAGGGGTGTTTGTCTAGATTGGTGGTTGGTGAAAGGGGTTGTTTGTCTGGATTAGTGAAAAATTTCATCGGATAATAATCTTTTCGAACAATCACACAGCGTCCCCAGCCAGTGTGATTATTGGTGGCGACTTTTTTTCATTTCAACTGATCATTAGCATTTTTTGGTACTCATCATCATCAT